TCATTGTTAAAATAAATAATACTATAAAATAAATGACAAGTACAGGCCATACGACTGGTATATTAAATATTGAGAATAATGTTAAGAATAAACAAATAATTAATGCTTTAAATGTTGTATACCAGAATTTAAATTCTGGTAAACGACGCATAAATGGTCGAAATTCATCGGTTGATTTTGTTGGTAAACGTAATTCATTATCATTATTATCATCTAATGATACTTCATGTTTGGGTGTTAGAAAAAGAAGAAATTGACTGAGTAAAAATATTCCAAGAGCATATGCTATTATATAGAAACTGTGTGAAAATATAATTCGACAACAAAAAAGAATAAATAGAAATAAATTAAATAACCACCGAAATGTAATGAATGGAGTAATACGATCAAGATAATATTGTATGAATATTTCAAGACGCGTAAAATTTGATACGTTTTTATCTGAATTCATATTTAATTTTCAAGATTTTTGTCAAAATTGTGAAAGAGAAGACGAGCAGATAGAGAAAATCATTTCGATTGGTAATAAGAATAGATGACGCTAAAAACAATATTTTTTTTTAATAAAAATTTTATTTAATAAAATAGAAGAAAATATTTCTAAAATTACTTTTTTTATTTAAAAAAAATTATTATATTATTTATATTAGACAAAGATTGATCATGAGTTTCAGGGTCATTCTCGACCTATTGATATGAATCTGGAATCACAGCGTTTAAATTCTTATTGCTATCTTTTTTTCTTTCGAAATAACAATTAAATATAATTTAAAATTATTTTTATCTATCGTATGGCATTCATATTTAGTCATATAAAAGATAAAAATTTTTATTCTTTACGGTATGTATCATCTTTTGTGTTTCTATTTGTCCTTACATGTGTTGTTTGCCTGTGTACCGTCGTCATAAATAAGCACGTGTCTTCTTCTATTGTAAACAAACTCTTTCTCATCTTCATTCAATCACTATTTATATCACTATAGAAATTAGAAAAATAAAACTATCACTTATACACAAATAAAATATGGAAATATAATTAAATAATAATTATAAATGAGATCTATTTAACTTATTTTAGATCATGTCGAAAACAGATCTTGGTGATATTTGTGGACGCTTTTTAACTTCGCGTCTATCAAAACAGACTGATTCTTCTTCATTTAAACATTCATTAAACAATGAACATATTGCTAATGAACATAAACGTCATACTATCTTAACTCAAAAACTATTATTTAAGCCTTATAAAAAAAATCCATTAGATCAGCTACGCAAACGTTACTCAGGTATACTTATATCAGCTAATAATGATATTAAAACAACACCAGCAGCAACAATACCAACACCAGTACCAAAAACAACAACAACAACAACAGCGGCACCATCAGCAGTTAATAATCATTCATCATCCAATAATAAGACTTTTTCATTAATGATGAATTGGGAATTAGTAAAAGATCGTGGTTCTGGTTTAGTTAATCTTGGTAATACATGTTTTATAAATGCCTCATTACAATGTTTAGCAAATACTCCACCACTTGTTCAATGGCTTTTATCAAATTCTCATAATCAATATTGTCGAATGAAATTAGAAAAAAAATTTTGTTTATTTTGTGAAGCTGAACGTATTGTTAGATTAATACATTCAAAATCATCTTATTCATCATCATCAATGGGTCCAGCTAATCCAAATAATCTTGTACGACGTATTAAAGATATATCTAAAACATTTCGATTCGGACGTCAAGAAGATGCAAGTGAATTTTTAATTTGTTTAATTGATAAAATTGTTGAAGCATGTCTTCGTTCATCTCAACCACCTGAACGTTTACGTCCATCATCTGGTACATCATATGAACAATTATGTCATTCTCAAACATTTCTTCATGATCTATTTGGTCTTGTTTTACGTTCACGTGTTATATGTTCACGTTGTCGTTATACATCAGATACATTTGAAGTTCAATATACATGGATTGTTGGTGTACGTAATCATTCAGATTTAAGACAATCATTACAACAATTTGTTTGTCGAGAAACTTTATCAGGAGAAAATTTATATCGTTGTATGAAATGTAAACAATTAGTACCAGCTGTAAAACGATATACATTACATAAAGCATCAAACATTTTATTAATTAATTTAAAACGTTTTGAATTTGGTAAAAATTCACATAAATTATCACATCTTGTTCGTTATCCTGAATATTTAAATGTTAAATCATATATGAGTGAAGAAAATTCCAATGATCAATCTTTAAATTATCGTTTATATGCTGTTTTAGTACATGTTGGATCATCGATGCATTCAGGACATTATTATTCATATGTACGTTCACCAAATAATCGTTGGTATAAAGCTGATGATACAACAATGACACAATGTGATTTAAATCAAGTTTTAACACAACATGGTGCATATATTTTATGTTATATTAAAGAAACCGAACGATCAGTAGGAACTAATATAACCAATGGAATAAATTCGACAAATAAAATTCCTTATCAAAATGGTAAATTAAATAATAAAAGTGAACAACAATCGAGTACAATAACAACAACAACAACGACAACAAATTCGAAATTTTTCACTCCACGTCAAATACCTGCTCAGAACCTACCACGACAAAGTATGTGAATTGAATGAATCAGATTCTACGCTAACTTCGATCATGGGATGATAAGATCTGTCGAGTATCTTTTAGTATGATTTAACATAAGATTAAAATTTTATTCGATAAGAAATACATTTCCAGAGTTTTACTGCTCAGAATCGAGATGATAACTAGAGACACTTGTTTTTATAGCAGATGAAAAATCTCTCATTCTTCTAACGATTGTTTGATGTACATATCACAAGTGACTATACTTGGTTTTATTTTATCTAGTAAATGGATTGAATGGACATACAAAACCAAATATTGTATCAACTAATGGTAATGGTACGGTGTCAACTGAAAAACGAGAATCAATTGTAACGCATACTCCTAAACTTATCTTTCTACCAAATAAAGTAATTATTCATTTTTCTTTATATATGATTATAATATTTTTTGTTTAGTCTGCTCAGGAAAATAAACCAAATTCAATATCAATTCCATTATCATCAGTAAAAACTAATAATCAACCATTATCTTCTACATCAAATATACAGACAACTTCATCACAAATAAATGGCGTAATAAAAACTAATGGATTTACATCTAATTCAAATTCATACAATCATAAGAAGGAGAATGATCATGATCGTGATGATGATTCAAGTGATTTTCAACAACCTATTAAGAAAAAACAACGAATCGAAGATTCATCATCATCTCTTGTTCCATCGTCTCAGTTAAATTCTATTGATGAACAATCAGTTCCTTCATCGATAAATCAATTACATAAAAAGAAAAAAAAGAAAAAATCTCATAAACATTCTAATGAAACACAAAATGGTTCACATTCATTGATATCATCATCATCATCAGCAACAACAACAGATGAACAATTTCAACAATATAGAAAAACTAAAAAACATCATCATCATCATCATAGACGATTATCTCTCGAACCATTGTGATAAAAATTTCCATTCAATCATTTGATATCTATGGAGAAATCTAAAGTAAGCATGCGTATTATCATTTAAGTTCTTTTGTATCTTTCTTCGATATTGCACAAGTATGCTCATATTGTTAGCAACAACTTGTTCATGTTGTTTATTGTAGCGGTGCAATTTTTCTCTTTTTGCTTGTTGTGTGTGTGTGTGTGTGTGTGTGTTTTGTTTGTTTCTTTCGTTTATTGTTTTTTTTTTTGTATTTTCTTGTTAACATACACATTTGTGTTTGATGGATGAAAAGAAAGAGAAAGGGAGAGAGAGAGAGAAAGAAACATTTTCAATGTTCATCAAGTGAAATAGAACATTGAAAAGAAACATGATTTTCTAAGTTATCAACAAATATCTTTCTATGATTTCTTATCAATGGAACTTTTTATCATCAAGTAATACTCAAAGATTTGAAAATGGTTGGAATGACGCCATATTGATAAATATTTATTGTACTAATTTTTGTAATGACGATATACGATGTGAGTAAAAGAGAGAAATTCATGATATATAACATTCTAATTCTCATTGAATTACTAATATTGGACAATTTAATTTCTAAAAATACTCAAATCATTCATGCAAATCACAAATTTTCCACAATTAGTCAGTAGCACCTACGTATAAAAGTACAATTATACATATATATATATACATTACTTATTTCAGGTATATATTATTGATATTTTATTCGTTGAAATCAAGCACAGTATTTAGTTCTATACATACAAATGGGTAATATATTCAGAAGACAAGCACCAGTTAGTTATCCAGGATATGGCGGAGAATTTGGTGGCGGTTATGGTGGAAACTATGGCGGTGGTGGCTATGGTGGTGGTGGTGGTGGTGGTGGTGGTTATGGTAGTGGGGGTTATGGTGGTGGAGGACGAGGAGGTGGTGGTGGATGCCGTGGAGGTCGTGGAGGAAGAGGTGGTGGTTTCTAATATCGTATTGTTACAGAAAGACACTTGAATCTATAAAATATTCAAAATATTTTATTTAAAACTTACGCTTTTCTTATGTTAGAAGATCGATTAAAATCTATCTTCTTAACGTGATTTTTCTTTTCAGTATGTATATTTCTTTTTTCACATGTTTTACATCGAAATCTTTGTATATCTTTGAGTCCTAAAAACTATTTATTTTCTGATAAGAACTAGATTGACGAGCTAGTTGTTTTTAATTGAATCAATTCATAAATACTGATTTTTTTTATAAACATGTAATAAAGACATAAATGTATGCGATATAAATATAAAAACTTTCTCCACCTTCGATAGATCATTTCACACATAATTTAACATCTATGAGATCCATTATATATCTGTACAAAGTCACTAAAAGTAATACCAAAGTGGAATTTTTCGAAGTACGAAATGCTCTCGATCTAGATATTAAAAATACTATGCAACTCAACTCTTAATAATATTTTCTATTAGTAACAGCAATTATTTTATATCGTTTATTTGAATTTTATCAAATTGACTTGAAACTGACTCACATTTCTATTAATATCGATCAAATGAAATTTGAAAAAAAAGACAGAGTTATATAAATCATGATTTTCGAAATAATAATAATGATCTCCTTTGAAATTGTTTTTTTCGCATTATTTTCACATCATTTGATAGAATTTGAGGTACTAATCACGAAATACTCGAAAGATTTCGGTTTTTCGAGAGAAACACATCGCTTTTGAGATATACAAAAGTTTTAACGTTTTTTTATTTTTCCAACTTCTCAAAATAATTTTACAGATCCAGTATGAAAAAGTGAATTTAAAAATGTTGTTAAATCGATTCCCGATTGAAAATTCGATTGGTGATACCGATTCAAAGTCTCATAGAGTCGAATAGATACCTGTTTACTAGGATAATAAGTAAACGGGGCAGTGCTTATTTTACATAAAATGTTTGTTTTTTATTCAAATTAGATAGAGATCACTTTGACATGTGTAAAAGAAGTAAATAGAAAAGCAAATCATGCAGTACAATAGCTTGCCGCTAGACAGATATCAATATTTCGAAATCAACCATTTTATTCGATGACGACTATTGATGGATCTTAATGGTAAAGACCGTGTTTTGTTTGTTTCTTTCATTTTTCTATTTTTTCTTGTTAACATACACATTCGTATTCAATGGATGAAAAGAAAGAGAAAGAGAGAAACTTTTTCAAGCTTCACACATGTAAATTAGTATATCGAAGAGAAACATGATTTTCTCAGTTGTCAACAAATATCTTTCTATGATTTCTTATCAATAAAACTTTTTGTCATGGAAAGAATTCACCAAGAAATACTCAAACAATTGAAAATGGTTGGAATGACATCATATTGATAAAGCCGTTTGATATATTCATGATAAGTATTTATTGTACTAATTCTGTAATGATCATATATGATGTAACTAAAGAAAAGAAATTCATAATATACAACATTATATTTTTCATTGAAATACTAATATTGGATATTTTAATTTCTAAAAATGTTCGAATCATTCATGCAAATCACAAACTTTCCACAATTAGTCAGTTGCACCTGCGTATAAACGAACAATAATATATATATATATATATATATATACATTACCTACTTCAGGTATTCATCATTGATATTTTCTTCATTGAAATCAAGTAGTATTCGTTTTTCTACATACAAATGGGTAGTATACTCGGAAGACGAGGAGGAATTGGTACTCCAGGATATGGTTATGGTGGAAATTATGGCGGTGGTTACGGTGGAGGTCTTGACCCGTTTTATGGTGGTGGTTATAGTGGTGGTTATGGAGGTTATGACCCATATTATGGTAGTGGAGGTTTAGGTGGTGGAGGTTATGGTTCTGGCATTGTGGCTCCTATTGTCCCTTCTGGTGGAAGACGGAGGAGACGTCGTAGGGGTGGTTGTGGAGGTGGGTGTGGTTGTGGAGGTTGTGGCGGCTATGGTGGTTATGGTGGCTACGGAGGTTATGGCTATTATTAATATCGCAGTGTTACAGAAAGACACTTGAATTCACAGAATTAAAAATATTTTATTTAAAGCCTACGCTTTTTTATTAAATAATTTATCTACTTTTATGCTAGGAGATTGATAAAGTCTATCTCCTTGTTATGGTTTTTCTTTTAAGTATGTATATTTCTGTTGTCATGTGTCTGACATCGAAATCTTTGTACATGTTTGAGTTCTAAAAGCTATTTCTTTTTGTATGCGAATTCCGTTAATGGACTAGTTGTTTCCAGTTGAATCAATTCATAAACACTGATTTTTTTTATGAATATATACGAAAAGACTTATAAACATATACGGTTGGAATATAAGAACTTTCTCTATAGACTATAGATGATTTCATACATAATCTAACATATGAGATCTTATATATGTTCGTACAAAATTTCTAAAGGCAATACCAAAGTGAAAATAGTCGAGTTATTTGCTTTCGAAGTACGAAACGCTCTCGATGTAGATATCAAAAATACTATTCAATTCAACTGTTAAAAATATTTCCTATCAGTTACAGCAGTTATTTTATACCATTTATTTGAATTTTTTTAATACCGATCACTTAGGATTTCAAAAAGAGCAAGTTATATAAATCATGATTACCGAAATAATTAATAATGATCAATTTCGATGTAATTTGAATATCTATCAATGAGAAATCACTTCAGACATTGATTGTCATAATTCCTACAAATCTGAATCTATATACATTTTATCTAACTGGATATATTGCAGTGTGACGATCAGAAAGGTATAGAAACATTCAAGAAATATATCGTAATGTGGATCAATGAAACAGTCACTTACAAAATGGTAATTTAATATTAAAATGCACTATATAAATTGAATAAAATCTTACGAACAAGATGTGTTTTTTCGAAAAACAACATTCTTCGAGTATTTTGTATTTTCTCACGGAAAACAAGTCTTTGTTAAGACTGAAAGACAGTGTTTCGTGATGAACAGCTCACGGCATAATAAATAATGAAAAGTTCTACGAAAAAAACTTTTGCTCATATTCTAAATTCCATGTATCATATCCTTTTCCGATATTGCACAAGTATACTCATTGGTAGTGACGCAATCTTTCTCTTTTTGTGTGTTTTGCTTATTTTTTCTTAACATACATATTTGTGTTTAATGGATGAAAAGGAAAAGAGAACGAAACATTTTCAATGCTCCTGAAGTAACAGTCAACGAGTTGAAAATGGTTGAGATGACATCATATTGAAAACATCGTTCGATATATTCATGATAACTATTTACTGTAACACTTTTAATAATGACGATATACGATATGAGTAAATAACAGAAATTCATGACATACGACCCTATCATTCCCATTGACTTACTAATATTGGACAATTTGATTTCTAAAAATACTCGAACCATTCATGTAAATGACAAATTTTCTAGAATGAGTAAATTGTACCTACGTATAAACGAACAATAAATATATATATATATATATATGCATTACATACTTCACATATATATTATTGATATTTTCTTCTTTGAAATCAAGTACAGTAATCAGTTCTCTACATAGAAATGGGCAATGCATTTAGAAGACAGACACCAGTTAATTATCCTGGATATGGGGGAGAATTTGGCGGAAATTATGGTGGCGGTTATGGTGGAAATTATGGTGGGGATTATGGGGGAAGTTGTTCCGAAAGACCTGGAAATGGATGCTTTGCACCACAGCGTCCACCGACTCGTTAATAATATTATCGCATTGTTATAAAATTCAAAATATTTTATTTAAAACTTACGGTTTTTTTTATTAATTAACTCATCTACATTTATGCTAGGAGATCGATAAAATCTATCTTCTTAACGTGGTTTTTCTTTTGAGTATTCAAAATTCTTTCTCCTCCTTTTGACGTCAAAATCTTTGTATATCTTTGAGTCCTAAAAGCTATTTCTTTTTCTATCAGAACTGGATAAATGAACTAGTCTTTTTTAATTGAATCAAATAATACTCGCTATTTTTCTTTATAAACATCTTTTAAAAGACTTATAAACATATGCGGTTTAAATATAAAAACTTTCTGCACATTTGATAGATGATTTCAAATAAAGTTTTACAAATGAAATCAATCATATATCCGTACAAAATTACCAGAGACAAGACTACAGTGGAAAACGGCGATTTATTTACTTTTAAAGTACCGAATAGTACCAATCTACTTTTTTCTCTTCGACTATATTCATAGATTGACACGCAAGTTATAACATGTATATGTTGGAAACTATAAATTTGTTATCGATTGAAAAATCAAAAAGACTGTTCAACTATTATACATATTAGGAAACTCAATTCAATTCTTAATATTATTTTCTACAACAGCAATTATTTTATATCATATATTTGAACTTTATAATAACTTAATTGAACAAACAGGTTTTTCCTCGAATGAATCGATCAAATTAATTTGAAATTGATTCAAATGTTTATTAATATGAATCAAGTAGATTTGCAACAAAAAAGAGTTATATAAATTATGATTTTCGAAATAATAATAATAACCTCCTTTGAAAATTGTTTTTTCCGCATTATTTTCACATCATTTGATTGAATTTGAGGCACTATCTCAGGAAACACTGCCGTCTAGCTATAGTGAATACTTCTGTCTAGTCGAAAAATACGGCATACTCGAAGGATTTCGGTTTTTCGAGAGAAATACATCGCTTTCGAAATATACAAAAGTTTTAACGCTCTTTCATCTTTCTAACTTCTCAAAATAATTTTTTTAGATTCAGTATGAAAAAGTAAATTTAAGATTGTTATTAAATCGCTTTCAGGTCAAAAACTCGATTGGTACTACCGATTGAAAGTCTCATCGAGTCCAATACATATGTGTTTCCTAGGATGATAAAAAAGGAGGGAGGCAATTTGAGGGTGTGGGTGTGAGGGTGTGGGTGTGGGTGTGGGTGTGGGTGTGGGTGTGGATGTAGGTGGGTGTGGATGTAGGTGGGTGTGG